TCATGTGTTGCGTTAATCGAAAAGTTCCTATACGACATTCACAAACATATTCTTCAATGCATCTAAGGTCTCGGAGTCTCCTCGGTCATTTCTGTAATAGTATTGGGTTGGAGTAGATAGATACATTTCTGTAAAAGTATTGAGTAACAGAAGAGAAAAACAAACGCTGTACAAGTATAGGTCCAGAGTAGAGAAATGTAGATATTGTACGAGTAAAGGGGCGTAACAGAGAGATACAGATATTGTACGAGTAAAGGGGCGTAACAGAGACATACAGATAGTGTACGGGTATAGGGCTGTAGTAGAGATATACAGATATTGTACGGGTATAGGGCTGTAGTAGAGAGATACAGATATTGTACGAGTATAGGGCTGTAGTAGATATATACAGATATTGTACGGGTATAGGGCTGTAGTAGAGAGATACAGATATTGTACAAGTATAGGGCTATAGTAGAGAGATACAGATATTGTACGAGTATAGGGCTGTAGTAGAGAGAAACAGATATTGTACTAGTATAGGGCCGTAGTAGAGAGATACAGATATTGTACGAGTATAGGGCCGTAGTAGAGAGATACAGATATTGTACGAGTATAGGGCCGTAGTAGAGAGATACAGATATTGTACGAGTATATGGCCGTAGTAGAGAGGTACAGATATTGTACGAGTATATGGCCGTAGTAGAGAGGTACAGATATTGTACTAGTATAGGGCCGTAGTAGAGAGATACAGATATTGTACGAGTATATGGCCGTAGTAGAGAGATAAAGATATTGTACGAGTATAGTGCCGTAGTAGAGACATACAGATATTGTACGAGTATATGGCCGTAGTAGAGAGGTACAGATATTGTACTAGTATAGGGCCGTAGTAGAGAGATACAGATATTGTACAAGTATAGGGCTATAGTAGAGAGATACAGATATTGTACGAGTATAGTGCCGTAGTAGAGACATACAGATATTGTACGAGTATAGGGCCGTAGTAGAGAGATACAGTTGTACGAGTATAGTGCCGTAGTAGAGACATACAGATATTGTACGAGTATAGGGCCGTAGTAGAGAGATAGAGATATTGTACGAGTATAGTGCCGTAGTAGAGAGATACAGATATTGTACTAGTATAGGGCCGCAGTAGAGAGATAGAGATATTGTACGAGTATAGGGCTGTAGTAGAGAGATACAGATATTGTACGAGTATAGGGCCGCAGTAGAGAGATAAAGATATTGTACGAGTATAGGGCCGTAGTAGAGAGATACAGTTGTACGAGTATAGGGCCGTAGTAGAGAGATACAGTTGTACGAGTATAGTGCCGTAGTAGAGAGATACAGTTGTACGAGTATAGTGCCGTAGTAGAGAGATAGAGATATTGTACGAGTATAGGGCCGTAGTAGAGAGATACAGTTGTACGAGTATAGGGCCGTAGTAGAGAGATACAGTTGTACGAGTATAGTGCCGTAGTAGAGAGATACAGTTGTACGAGTATAGTGCCGTAGTAGAGAGATAGAGATATTGTACGAGTATAGGGCCGTAGTAGAGAGATACAGTTGTACGAGTATAGGGCTGTAGTAGAGAGATACAGATATTGTACGGGTATAGGGCTGTAGTAGAGAGATACAGATATTGTACGAGTATAGGGCCGTAGTAGAGACATACAGATATTGTACGAGTATAGGGCTGTAGTAGAGACATACAGATATTGTACGAGTATAGGGCCGTAGTAGAGAGATACAGTTGTACGAATATAGGGCCGTAGTAGAGAGATACAGTTGTACGAGTATAGGGCCGTAGTAGAGAGATACAGTTGTACGAGTATAGGGCCGTAGTAGAGAGATAGAGATATTGTACGAGTATAGGGCCGTAGTAGAGAGATACAGATATTGTACGAGTATAGGGCCGTAGTAGAGAGATACAGTTGTACGAGTATAGGGCCGTAGTAGAGAGATACAGTTGTACGAGTATAGGGCTGTAGTAGAGAGATACAGATATTGTACGAGTATAGGGCCGTAGTAGAGAGATACAGTTGTACGAGTATAGGGCCGTAGTAGAGACATACAGATATTGTACGAGTATAGGGCCGTAGTAGAGAGGTACAGATATTGTACGAGTATAGGGCCGTAGTAGAGACATACATATATTGTACGAGTATAGGGCTGTAGTAGAGACATACAGATATTGTACGAGTATAGGGCCGTAGTAGAGAGATAGAGATATTGTACGAGTATAGGGCCGTAGTAGAGAGATAGAGATATTGTACGAGTATAGGGCCGTAGTAGAGAGATACAGTTGTACGAGTATAGGGCCGTAGTAGAGAGATACAGTTGTACGAGTATAGTGCCGTAGTAGAGACATACATATATTGTACGAGTATAGGGCTGTAGTAGAGACATACAGATATTGTACGAGTATAGGGCCGTAGTAGAGAGATAGAGATATTGTACGAGTATAGGGCCGTAGTAGAGAGATAGAGATATTGTACGAGTATAGGGCCGTAGTAGAGAGATAGAGATATTGTACGAGTATAGGGCCGTAGTAGAGAGATAGAGATATTGTACGAGTATAGGGCCGTAGTAGAGAGATAGAGATATTGTACGAGTATAGGGCCGTAGTAGAGAGATAGAGATATTGTACGAGTATAGGGCCGTAGTAGAGAGATACAGTTGTACGAGTATAGGGCCGTAGTAGAGAGATAGAGATATTGTACGAGTATAGGGCCGTAGTAGAGAGATAGAGATATTGTACGAGTATAGGGCCGTAGTAGAGAGGTACAGATATTGTACGAGGTTTGGGCCGTAGTAGAGAGATAGAGATATTGTACGAGTATAGGGCCGTAGTAGAGAGATACAGATATTGTACGAGTATAGGGCCGTAGTAGAGAGATACAGTTGTACGAGTATAGGGCCGTAGTAGAGAGATACAGTTGTACGAGTAAAGGGCCGTAGTAGAGACATAGAGATATCATTGAAAGATGATTGAATCGACGTTGAGATAGAGTCATTTTGTGAGAATATTGGGTCAGGGTATAGAGAGTTTTTGGCGAAATTTTCGGGTCGGGATAGAGAAGGTCATTTCTGAGATATAGGATAGGGGTTTTGACATATGATAAATTTGTAGGAGTTTTGGGTCGGGGTAGGGAGATAAAAAGTATTATAACAGTATTGGTGTGGGTATAGAAATATTATTGTAAAGGTATTGTGTCCCATTATAATGTGAAAGAATCTTAATTTTTTTTACTTTTTGTGCTTGTCAAATTTACAGGTATATAGTACAAAACCATTCAAAAAGTTAACTTCCACTCCTGTTTAACATTGTGTAAAACTTGTAATGATGTTCGTGTGTGACTTAAGCTTGAATGAAAAAAGTTTTTTTCTCATTAGATAGAAAATTAAAAACAAAACATAATAAGTTTTAAATACTTGTCGCGACACCCACGGTACAAACAAGTATTGTAAAATCATTTTGTAACCTGATAGAATTTTTCCACACTGGATCTTTATTTTTGAAAGAAAACACCAATTATTGATTTTAAATACAATTTATAGTTTTATTTACGTTTCGTTGATTTTCTACAAACACTAGAACAGCACTTATAAAGATATGCATTCACGGAATAAGATATCAATTACGTCAAAAAATAGCATGATGAAACAGGTAACGATTATAACATCCTCCTCAGTACAAACATCCATCAGAATCGGTAGAACGCCTACAACCCCACTATATAAGGGAGAGAAGGGAAGCATATCTTACAGTTCACAGAACGGACCTACCTAAAGGTTACTTTACAACCCTTGCTGAAGTGTGATATAATACAGAGGTAATGTTTACATACGTTATAACAATGATGTTCTCTTCTTCACACAGAAAGATAAACAACTATTAGCTTACATTGCTAAATCGACTGATTTTTAAATTTTATTTTTTTTTCTCAATAGAAATGAAGAAAATAGTTTCATAGTAGTATTAACTTACTTAGAAAAAAAAACATTTGTCTTAAATTTGATATTCAGCTTTTGAATTTAATAGGAATATGTACTGTATATTATAGCACGTCTTTGATACCAACACTATATCGTTTATAATTAGTTCAATGTATCTGTTCAGTTGTAAGAAGCGTGTGTGGTTCGTCATATTATTTATCTTAACCATTTCCGTTATTTTAAGATGATATTACGAATGAGATACACCAGATAGGTGTTACGCATGGTTTATAAATAGCTTGTATGGGTGTACCTATCTACAGCACTGATCAGCCTAGTACTGGTGTTAGGCGGTCAGTCGAACCTACTACAGAAAATATCTCTACAGTATCAGAAGATCTGATACTCATTTGTCGGGTGAAAGAGATTTTTTATCCCAGATAAAATTTTCAAATTATGTCTAATTTTTTCCCGAAAATTGATAAAATGGGTATCTGATAAAGTACATTAACCTGACACATATAATTCATAATTCAACGAGACACTCAGGTTTTACTACGTCTTCTTGGTCGTGGTTACTACTACACAAACCTAAGTGTGAGTACTGAAGCTTCTAGTACCGAATAATTACGTTTATATGTTACCCTTAATAACTCTACCACTAAGGCTTCACAAGATATAGGTTAAAGCTTCGGGTATTGTTCATGTTCAGGACTGGGAACAATATTAGATATTCTACATTTCACTACTGTTGCCAATCCCGTGTCTGTTTTACCGTGAGAAGATATTACTTCCGCTGAATGGGAGGTACACCTTCCACATGTGTTACTACTACTATGTGCGCGTAGGTTCACTGGTGTAGTAGTCCTCACTTCCGGTTTAATTTTATTGGGTATTAGTCTAGGTAATTGTATATATAACGTAATTCATTATGAGCAGTCCTTCTTTGAATTACATGTTTACTCCGAAACGTGCATTGCAACATGTTTTTATACCGCTAACCGCCCATAAAAGTAACCCTTCGTAGACTTTATACATTAATTGGAAACACTTTAAGTTTGTGGACAGACAAAATATTTCTTTTTTTCATTGTGGATACATATCGGATATTCTGTGGCAAGGTATGTATTTATCCTTTATAAATTTTACCACAGCAGTGAAACAGTCAATTCAATTATCAGCTATTCTTTGTTTTCAGTTTAGATAATATTTTCATCACCTGATAGTCACCTCACTATCAACCTCTGACAACTTCGTATTATTTAAATATATTATTTAACGTATAAAACATTCTCCCTTCGTAATTTGACGTACCTAAAACAATATTTACCTTAAGATTTAGCTAGGATGTTTAACTACTGTCGCCTTACTAAAACCACGACAAATATCAACAATGCTATTTCTTGGTTGTTAATGTTCCTTCCCTCACCGAAATTCTAGTATCGTTGCTGATTCAGATTATTTGCTAATCAAAATTCTGTTTTAAATGCCATATATTAATGCACTGATGTGACATACTAATGGTAAATTACTAGGAATGTACGATACATTCATCAGAAAATTGAAATTTTTTTTTGTATAAAATACCGAAATTGACTTGAAACGTCATTCTCCTACCTATGAGGATGGAACTAAAGAGAATTTCTTCAGCACAAAGAATACACATTTTGTAAATTCCAACGTTTTGATAAATAGCAATGTCCTTTAATGACAGGAAAAGAAGCCTTTGTAATTAGATTTTAAATTTACTTTCAAAGAGCATTTACAATTTAATTACAACCAATGACTGTGATAACGTTAATTACTATAATTGATTAAGATACAACGTTATTTACTATAGTTAATTAAATTTATCTAAGCACGTTCGTCGTGACTACTTCATAAACTCCATTCATTACGTGTGTGGTACAAATAACATAGATAGGAACTTTGGTTCTCAGAGGAGACAGAGAAAGGACAGTAGCTAAGCTGACATTTCGCCCGGTCAATTGAAGGTGAACCCTTCACCTAGAGTTCATCTTACGTGTCGTGATAAATAGCTGATTTCTAAGTAACGACATGTATCAAAATATATATTTGACACGACCTAGAACCTCGTCATGGTATTCATAGTACTCTTACATCAAGTTGAACATGCATTGAAGTTTCTACTTTAGAAGATGATTACAGCTGCTGTGGAAAATGCTACATTAATTTAATTGATATTAAATTGCTGTCCAGGGTGTGAGAACAGACATCGCCAGTGACCCGGAAAACGTTACCTACTTAAAGTTTTAAGGGTGCTCTCTGTTTGTGTTAATGTCTTTTTACAGCAAACATTGATGTTTAGTGGCAAGTGATTTTGGATTTTTCACTGGAGTTTGAACAGTGTAATATTCCACTCTGAAGTATAAATTTGTACATATTACATCAAAGTATAAAGAAAAATGGTGAGAGAAATGGACGAAGGGGAGACGGATGGAACCTTTCAGAGTTGAAGCAATTTAAATAATTTAAATAAATATACAATTGTACATTATTGCTGACGGGGTGATACATGTTCAATGTTAAATAATCAGAGAGATTACAAAATCATGTAAAAACTTGTTTAGATGTATTTCACTCAATAAATAAATACCAGACAGCACAAATATCGATACTTGGTGTGATTGATATTGTTCTACTCATATCAATAGCCATAGTTATTTTAGGATGGCCTCCCGATGAATTCGAGCTGAGTGTAAGTCTTGCGTGTGTGTTATTTTGGGAGACTGTGATATATTCGTTTTCGCCTCCTTGTGATAGTACGGAAGTGAAGCCGACTTTGTCGCCTCTTACGATTTTTCAATGTTGGCAGCACGTACAGTTGTTACACCCTACCTGCAGAGCCTCAATTATCGATACGTCAGAAAAACAGCATAAAAGATATAGTTTTTATTTAAGTTCAGTTTGATCTGTAAATGAAAAAAAATCGTTAGGCAAAGACTGACATTTCCTCATTTAATGATTTTTCGACTTAAACTTATAACTTTAAAATCACGCACAAGGAAGGATAGAATATAAAATGAATCATCCTTACTAATTAAACATTGATTGTAACAAAAGTAACACAATATGTTCCAAACCCCTGCAGTCATTATACATATATTTTTATTTTCTAACATCATGTAATTTAAGTTGATTTAAAGCAATATGTCACACGTTTTGTGAAGTTGGAGTGTGTAATATAGACTACCGTCAATAATTCTTTTGCTTCCGGTTTATCAAGTTGCATTTGTGTCAGTTGTATGAGTGATACATACTTTAAAATCTTCAGATATATTGTACATTGTGTGCAGCATATTTGGTGATATCTTAAAGTTTATTTATTATTAAATACAACAGCAAGGCACACAAGCACGTAGAGAGTGAAGATCAGATGTGACCAACATTCCATAGCTAGTATATTTTCGAGCAGAGAGCACTGTAACTGTCAATTACCATGTACACAGAAGCCTTACACTTCTAGTGTTAAATGTCCGGCATGCGTTTTATATATGTTCTATATCTGATTTTAAATCACATAATTATTCTAATTATAGAAACCAGAACACAATGGATTCGTGTGAATTCCGGAAAAAAGGGAAGGAGATGGTTGATTATATCGCTGATTATATGGAGAACATACACAACCGCAGGGTGATACCGGAAGTCGAGCCTGGTTATCTAAAACAGCTCTTACCGGATACAGCACCGGAAATGAGTGAGAGTTTCGACGACATCATGAAGGACGTAGAGAGAACAATTATGCCAGGGGTTAGTACCCAATGAACCCACTATATATTCCTCGTTCTCACATACCCAGCTCAAGGGGTCAAGGGGTATGCATTGAATTTTTTTTTAAAGGCGCAGACTAATGAAGATTATGGGGAAGTTTTTTTGGCGATCTCAATGGCAAATATTGTATATCATTGTGCAGTATAATGTTGGTCGTGTAAAAAATACACACAAATGAATAATACATTATATTGCATTAATAATTAGAGACAGTAGAGCCAAACATTAAAATGTATCATACAGCTTTTTCGTCATTCGAGGACAAAAAATTCACCAACATGCCGTGTTTAAATCCATTTGGATGGTGACACGCTTCAGAATATAACCATAGCTTGAAGCTATTTTATAATCGTCCAATATTGAAAATGTATTGAATTGTGAGTTCATTGTGATTCCTCAGAAATCTATGACAATTATGTTTGGACTATCGTGATCGCCTTTAGTTAAAAAAGCTGCGTGTTACAGTATAATTCATGACTTTGATGTATCATATATATATATCTGACCTTGATTGTCTTTTATTGAAATCCTTTAAACAGCATAACGAGTATAAAGTGAAGGCATTGATATGTGGAAACAGATTATAACTTATAAATCTATAGCAAAATAGAGGAAAGTACGACTAAATCCGTCCATTCTGTTAGAAATGACATCGGCTGCAACAAGCAGTTTTCTTAGCGTTAATTGGTATTACTCAGCCTTTCGAAATACACATGAAAACACCCGTGTAAAGACTTATTGAATAATTCCACTAAACTACCTTTTATGTGAAACGTTGGTGACATTAGGAAAAGATTGTCATCTCATAAGATAAAATGTTTATTTAATGTCCTTTGAATGCAGATAAATGCAACCGCGATGGTTCCGATATCGCTTTCAAGATAAAACATCCTTTGTATTGTTTCATGTTGAAATAATCATTATTCACAGTCAATAATTAACGGACACTGCGAGTGTTCTCAGGAATGACCCGAGGACACGAAAAATTGTAGGAATCAAACGAACCATTTGAAAAAAAAAATATAAAATAACCCTTAGTGGACTATCATTGCATTCGGAATATCTCATTCTTATCCTCCTTTTTACCATTTGTCTCATTTCTCTTCCTTCTTCCTTTATGTCCGTACTGTCCAATAAATCTATAGAGGACTCGTTATATCTTTTGTCATCACGTGACATTTGTATTGGTTGTATATTGCGTTGTCGGGAGAGGGCCTAACAAGTTGCTAGAACTTGTTTTTGAATATTTATCAAAGATAAGCATGGTGTATACTTATTAACGTTAGATACGCACGGACACATTGTCAGGCAGATTTCACTGTTTATATCATCAACTATGTGAACACGTCAATTTTCAAATTCGATGCTCAATGAAATGAAGTTAGGATAACCAAATGATCGCAACAAAACTACACATAAATAAATAAATAAATAAATAATGAATAAATAAAATTAAATTAAAAAAAACAATATATGAATCAATCAATGAATAACAAAAGAAAAAAAACTGTTTTAGCAATCGTTCAAGATATTTGCCTTTTCTTGCAGCTAATACTAAACTGCAGCGTGAAAACACTTCCGCCTCGGGAAGAAATCACTTATCTCATCCTTGTCTGTGTTAAGTGTGTAACATTAGCGTGTGTGAATTGTGACTTATGTAGCACGTATTACTTTGTACAGAATTATATATTACGTTTTCGCGTGCCAATGTCACAACCACATCTAAAGTAAAAGTTGTCCATCTAAACACATAAGATTCCAACCGACTTACATCATAACTTGACCTGCTTGAAATCTGAAACTCACTGAGCAATCAAAATCTTGTTCGAGTATACCATGTAATTATTTGACTTCGATACCACTACGTTTTATCGAATAGATTTTACGTCCAATTACGGCCTTCCGGTCTTTCAGTGGATGGAGTTATATACATCCTCGATATTCCAGGGGTTACGATCACTTCCGCTCTCTGTACTCCTTGAACGATGTCATGGCAAAATTGAAGACACGAGCAAAGTTATTTGATTGGTTCCAGGAGAAAACAAAAACTGACCAATGACAGGTTAATACAATCCTTTTGAAGATTACAAAGGAGCGACATCCAACTTCAAAGCCATTACAATGAAGCATTATGCGCCCTCGATATTCATTTGATGCACACGAAAGGATCAAACTAGTTTTTTCATTTCGTTCACAAAGTGTCGCACAAGGATCCTTCAATTAAATCATGGCGTGTTCCAGGGGTGTAAACAGCGAAAGTGACCGTAACCCATGGAGTATCGTGGATTGGCTATATACCACGTGACTACAAATTATTTATAAACATTTTAGTTATCTTGATGTCTATATCATATGTTACTGAAATCGTCCCTGTGTGATATGACAGTACAATACACATAGGCCATGCCTTTATAAGATCTTATAACCTGTTTCAGATAACTCATTGGCAGCATCCACACTTCCATGCTTATTTCCCGTCTGGAAATTCCTACCCGTCAATTCTAGGGGATATGTTGTCAGACGCTATTGGCTGTATTGGTTTTTCATGGGTAAGATGATCAATTAACAAACATATTTTAATTGCAAACCTCGCCTAATTACGCCATGTGTAATCAATATTACGTCATGTGTAATCAATATTACGTCATGTGTAATCAAGATTACGTCATGTGTAATCAATATTACGTCATGTGTAATCAATATTACGCCATGTGTAATCGATATTACGTCATGTGTAATCAATATTACGTCATGTGTAATCAATATTAGGTCATGTGTAATCAATATTACGTCATGTGTAATCAATATTTCGCCATGTGTAATCAATATTACGTCATGTGTAATCAATATTACGTCATGTGTAATCAATATTACGTCATGTGTAATCAATATTAGGTCATGTGTAATCAATATTAGGTCATGTGTAATCAAGATTACGTCATGTGTAATCAATATTACGTCATGTGTAATCAATATTACGTCATGTGTAATCAATATTACGTCATGTGTAATCAATATTACTACTTTATTATTCCGGGTTCTTCAAACATTCATCAGATTGATTTTAGAGTGGTATCTAACAAATATGTAATGTGGCAGTGTCTCACGTATTTAATTGATTTTGCTCATAAAATATGTTTGCTATGAAAATTACACATTTGTTTTAAATCAAGCGGACACACGTCAGATCAGTTCATGTATCCTTCCGCGCATTTAAGTGTTATCTACGTATTAGATATAGACGTGTATAAGATCCTTATATATGGCATGTACGGACAAGTGACAATCCACCCTTTATCAAGACACAAAAGACCAAATATTATATAAATTATATATATATATGAATATATAAACAATGCTATTATGTTGCTGTTAAGTGAAAGAAATTGCTTTAACGTGACGCTATCCAAAATGATACCAGTTTCCAATGGTTTATCTTAATATTTCGTTTGCCGAGGATCAATTCCCAAATGTTTGTTTTATTTTGATAACGGGTGACCAAGAACTTCATCTCCGTGTGTTGGTTGAACTTTAAGACCGCGTTTGTTTATCAATAGAACGGTAAAAATAATATGTCGTCATTTCCGGTATCAAACAAGGTGAGCGTACCCAAATTAACAGACATTACAACAGTTAATTCTGTCGAAAGTCATGGTTTCAAAAACTAATGAGACGTACCTCATATCCACACAGAGATATTCAAAAAGTGAACTTTTATTGATATATTAGGAAGATTTCAGTAGAAGACATGATACATTCTACATAACGTATATTTGCATCTACTGTGTATTAGCCTATTGTATTAGGGGTGATTGTCAATACGAAAAAAGGTGAAAAATTACTTCATAATTGGTTACAGATATGAATTTGTAGCTTAGCAAAAGCAGCTCTCATGCCATGAAGACACGAAATCACTGTTGTTATTTTTACACATTCAGTGAAAATTCCTACATATTTCATTCGCGATGTTTGACGAACACTTTTTCAGTAAAAGGTATCAACTTGGGTATGTTATCGATTTGGGTAGCATAACGTTAATATAAGTCTTTATCTTGATGTTTATGAATACAATGATTTACAGGCTTCAAGTCCCGCCTGTACAGAGCTTGAGGCCATCACAATGGACTGGCTTGGTAAGAATAAATACAATCTGAAACGTTTTAATGGGCGAAAAATACCAAAATGTCGATAAAATAAGCTCAAACTAACAAAAGTTTAATCTAATAAATGTTAAAGTATTGAAATTCAAATTTCTATCGTGTTCTCACATGAACTTGGGTGGTTGTGACCTCAACCTGCTTGTGCAATCAATTTGTTTTTGTCAGTGATAAAGCAGAAATAAATTCACTTCATTAAAATATTTCTTTACAGGAAAAATGATGGGTCTACCCAAAATATTTCTCCATGGATCTGGGGAGGGTGGCGGTGTAATACAGGTAAGCCAAAGATATATAGAGAAAGTGCAATTATATTGGTTGATTTGTCTGCACCAATGTCGTCCTACAATGACATATTGTATGCATAGTTACGTGTGTCTGCTACATTTGACAAACTACTACAGCACTGATATGATTAAGGCTAGGTATTGGAGGCACGAATTTGTGGTGGCTGGATTAACGAGATTGGGTATATTAACGGCGGTTGGATTAACAAGGCTAAGTATATATAATATATATTGGGACAATGGGATTGGTGGTGGCTGGATTAACGAGGCTGGGTATGTATAATATATACTTGGACAATCGGTTCAGTGTTGGTCGGATTAACGAGGCTGGGTTATGGGACAGTCAGGGTAGTGGTGGTGGGATTGACTAGGCTGGGTTATGAGACAATCAGGGTAGTGGTGGTGGGATTGACTAGGCTGGGTTATGGGACAATCAGGGTAATGGTGGTGGGATTGACGAGGCTGTGTAATGGGACAGTCAGGGCATTGGTGGTGGGATTGACGAGGCTGTGTAATGGGACAGTCAGGGCATTGGTGGTGGGATTGACGAGGCTGGGTAATGGGACAGTCAGGCTAGTGGTGGTGGGATTGACGAGGGTGGGTAATGGGACAGTCAGGGTAGTGGTGGTGGTGGGATTGACGAGGCTGGGTAATGGGACAGTCGGGGTAGTGGTGGTGGGATTGACGAGGCTGTGTAATGGGACAGTCAGGGTAGTGGTGGTGGGATTGACGAGGCTGGTTAATGGGACAGTCAGGGTAGTGGTGGTGGGATTGACGAGGCTGGGTAATGGGACAGTCAGGGTAGTGGTGGTGGGATTGACGAGGCTGTGTAATGGGACAGTCAGGGTAGTGGTGGTGGGATTGACGAGGCTGGGTAATGGGACAGTCAGGGTAGTGGTGGTGGGATTGACGAGGCTGGGTAATGGGACAGTCAGGGTAGTGGTGGTGAGACTGACGAGGCTGGTTAATGGGACAGTCAGGGTAGTGGTGGTGGGACTGACGAGGCTGGGTAATGGGACAGGGTAGTGGTGGTGGGATTGACGAGGCTGGGTAATAGGACAGTCAGGGTAGTGGTGGTGGGATTGACGAGGCTGGGTAATGGGACAGTCGGGGTAGTCGTGGTGGGATTGACGAGGCTGGGTAATGGGACAGTCTGTGTAGTGGTGGTGGGATTGACGAGGCTGGGTAATGGGACAGTCAGGGTAGTGGTGGTGGGATTGACGAGGCTGGGTAATGGGACAGTCAGGGTAGTGGTGGTGGTGGGATTGACGAGGCTGGGTAATGGGACAGTCGGGGTAGTGGTGGTGGGATTGACGAGGCTGTGTAATAGGACAGTCAGGGTAGTGGTGGTGGGATTGACGAGGCTGTGTAATGGGAACAGTCAGGGTAGTGGTGGTGGAACTGACGAGGCTGGGTAATGGGACAGTCAGGGTAGTGGTGGTGGGATTGACGAGGCTGGGTAATGGGACAGTCAGGGTAGTGGTGGTGGTATTGACGAGGCTGGGTAATGGGACAGTCAGGGTAGTGGTGGTGGTATTGACGAGGCTGGGTAATGGGACAGTCAGGGTAGTGGTGGTGGGATTGACGAGTCTGGGTAACGGGACAGTCAGGGTAGTGGTGGTGGGATTGACGAGGCAGGGTAATGGGGACAGTCAGGGTATTGGTGGTGGGATTGACGAGGCTGGTTAATGGGACAGTCAGGGTAGTGGTGGTGGGATTGACGAAGCCGATGAGTAGTAATAGCACTCTGTTCGAGCATATTTACTAAAATGAAAATAATTTATTTTATTATCTTACAGGGCATGCTTAATGATTTTACATAATAAAATGTCTACTTCATAGATATATGAACCAAACTTGAATTACATATTAGTTCACATCTAAAAATCTGCTCCACTGAGATCTACCTTTGAAGATATGATTTTCCGCGTTATCTCTCACCGTCTATTGCCTTAACAAAGGTATAACCTGCATCCTCGTTCAAATCACAGGTGCGATGGGGTTCCCAGAATATCTGTATCACAAATTATCGATGTAAACATGTGTTTTATGTGAATCTGATACAAGGATGGGTTCAGTTTTTATAGTTATGATGTAACACCTCACCTTTCTAGTGCTGGTGTATCAAGCTTATCGGCAAGCGAGCGTAACATCTCTCCTTCTCCGCCAAATCCCTTACAAACATGTGCAAGGAGAATTGGTACACTCGGAAATAACTCGTTTAATGATAGATAGTGTACGGAGTTTACCAGAATAAGAATAAAACTTCTTTCATGAAACTATTTTGGATTGTTTACATAAAGTAGATGTGTCGAGAAAAGTTATCGTAGATTTCGGTTTGTATTGGAACCAATGAGTTTAATTTGTTTGATAGTTTACCCTGATGTTATTTTGTAAACGAAAAAAGAGATCACTTATTTTGAAATTGATTACCATATTGATATTGATTACCTTCTTTATTGAGTAAGCTAAGAAAATGAGAGATATATGGAATCATTCACTAAATTGTGTTTTTTTTTTCTCCTTTAGGGATCAGCCAGTGAGTGTATACTAGTGACATTACTAGCGGCCCGACACCACGCTCTACAGGAAAGGGAGAGCATGTCCCCTCTCATCCGAAATGATACTAACTTACCCAAGCTGGTGGCGTACTGCTCCAAACTTGTACGTACATATGTGTTATTTAATTCCTAAATGACTCTAACCTTCATAATTTTGCAGATTTGTTTTTCATTTACAGAAAATCTAATGATTTCTTGGTGGATTTTAGGCCCCGTGGTATACCTTATATATGTCGGCCAAGTTAAACATGCAGTGGGTAATGACACGATTTAGAGTATAAACATGTTCATTATCCTATGTATTGCAAAACAAACCTGCTTGGAATCAGCTGACTCCTTGTTTTACCCCCACAGCGTCAGCTATGTGAAAACGAATTTCTATCAAGTAGGAGCGATAAAAATTCCCAATGAATGATCCTTGATTTACCACGTGACGTAAGTGGAAACACTCCCGTTTCTTTTGAAGTTATCGCACCTTTTTATCCATGCATTCACTCAAGGATACAGCTACGTTACAGTAGACAAAGGGATGACTGTAAGAGGGATACGTAGTACGCTTTCCCTTTCATTTCAGATATTATACAAATTCAATACATATTTTGTACGTAACACTGTGTATGTCAGGTTTTCTGATTAAAGTTGTCAATATTAAAACAATTTTGTATGACGTGTATTTTTCACCAAAGTCTTGAATTCCTATTATCGATTTTAGTTTTGCGATATCATTCCATCTTCGCAAATAAGTAAATTAAAAAGACTTATAAAAGAATTCAGCCGACACTAACGAGGAACAATACAAACAACATTTTTTTCGAAATAGCAATGTTTGGTGTGTTGATGTATATTTTAATTGTTTTATTATATTGTATCTATTTGTCGTCGGTATAATATTATTGTTTTATTATATTGTATCTATTTATCGTCGGTATAATATTATTGTTTTATTATATTGTATCTATTTATCGTCGGTATAATATTATTGTTTTATTATATTGTATCTATTTATCGTCGGTATAATATTATTGTTTTATTATATTGTAATATTTATCGTCGGTATAATATTATTGTTTTATTATATTGTAATATTTATCGTCGTCTATTATGTTGTATTTATTTATTGTCGGTATAATATTATTGTTTTATTAAATTGTGTTTATTTATTGTCGGTATAATTTTGTAGTCGCATTCCTGTGTAGAGAAGGCTGGGATGCTAGGATTTGTACACCTAAGACAGCTAGACGTGGACGATAACTTGTCTCTCAGAGGCAATGTGTTGGAGGCGGCGATACAAGTAAGTATACTCGGTTAGCAATGTTCTGCTATACAGGTAAGGTTAACCAAGTAAGCAACATTTCGGAACATTTTCTTCAGGTTTGTAATGTCAGTAGAATAGAAGTTCTTATAAACACAACCAGGAGAAGATTTAAGTGATCGAAACGTCGTATTTAAATCTAAGTTCAAGTGTTGTAGCCGAACTAATAACAATATATTGTCACTATCTTGTATTTTTTGGTCCATAATCTGTTACCCATCTCGTCACACTATTTTCGGCCTTAGTGATTATAGGATCATAGGGCAACCGAAGAGTTGTCCGATTCCTACCCATCTCGTACACTACGTATATCTGTGCTTGTACGCTACACACACTGGTCATTTGTCTGATGAAGGTGACCGTGTAGTCATCGAAACGTCACACTAAAATCTTGTATTGGTTGTGTTATAAGATGAAGGTGACCGTGTAGTCATCGAAACGTCACACTAAAATCTTGTATTGGTTGTGTTATAAGATGAAGGTGACCGTGTTGTCATCGAAACGTCACACTAAAATCTTGTATTGATTGTGTTATAAGAACGTTTATTCTTCTAGTTAGCATTGTCATGAAACTGAGGGTTAGCCAGTTCTTGAGGGTAGCAGTACAAATATATGTTAATCCGATTAGCAATTTCCAGGGGTTACTAAATCGGTTATGTTTCATGGTTGTAGTTATATGTGTAAGGTAAACCGGGTCAGTAATGGTCTAGTTGCGTCTATACTGGTCAGCAATGGTCTGATGAGATTATACATCAGTATAACCAAATTATTGTTCTAGAGGCGGCTATAGAAGAACGTTAATGTTTGATTAGTAACCTTTTTGTAATGATGCTGTTATTCATGACTATAACAAATACATTTAATTGAACTGATTGAGAGAAAAGTCTTTATTTGATATGAACTACAAAATATTTCCTAATGTTTATTTCTCTATGAGTTGTGATTAGTGTTGTGACACGAAAAAAAAAGTACTGACATGTTAATAAAATATCAATCTGAATTAAAATACCATGAACGAAGGATAGGAACCTGGTTACTTAGAAGGAATCAACTGTTAGATTTGACACCATAGTGTGTTACTATCCAGGAAGTCGAAGTCATCAAGCTTATACAGCGATAGGTGGGCTGATTCGGACTGGCATAAATAATGGACATAGTGAATGAATATCTTGTTTTTCATAATAATGATATCATCAATATATCTAAACGTGAAACAGAATTACTAGACTGTGTATTTTCTTCCTACTTTGATGAGTATTTCTATAGCCTCAAATGAAAACTAAATTAAATCTGGCACGCGATGAGAACCGCTAGGGAAATAGCCTGTTTGAAGATCGTACCATGAAACGCAAAAAAGATTTTATCAATCAGAAACCGAATTACTGTTATACTTTCATTAGACGCCCATTTTACGACGTACGTTCCAGTATAACTCACAGCTACATAGTACACTTATAGCACCATTGAAAATTAATCTCACAACAAAAGCATTAAGGCTTCATTTTAATCTAAAATAATGTTTTGGCAGTATATCAGTGTATATTTGATGTTGTTAATCAAGACACAAACTGATAGCGATTTTGTTTTATCAAACAGGAGGACAAAAAACTAGGATTCATTCCGTTCTACGTAAGTTATCAATTCTTGTAATGTGTTCTGATTACATAAATCCTCATCTGCCTTCAGCGAGTTCAGCAGCGGCCTGTTCAGATTTAGATTGCAGTTATGTTGAATGTAACTGAAGTGATATTAAGTAAGAGCTCATTAAATCAACTGATCTGCAATTATGTTAAATTTGGTAGTTTAGAAATGTTCTTTAAATTTAATGTGTCCAGTTTCTATCATTGGAACTATGATGTTTTTTACTTTTGGCAGTTTTTTATTACGTTGTATCATTTTTCTGAAAATTTGACGATTCAGATCTGTGATAACGTACTATATTATAGGTGTGCGCCACGTTGGGAACGACTGCTTGCTGTTCTTTTGACAACGTGGCCGAGCTGGGAGAAGTTTGTGTCCGAGAGAAGATATGGCTTCACGTAGATGCAGCGTACGCTGGGAACGCCCTCATCTGTCCGGAGTTCCAGCACCTTATCAAGGGAGCAGAGGTGGGAAGCACGTTTAATAAATGTTTACGATTGCTATACATATGTACTTGATGTTCTCCTAAAACTTTAGGAAAGTAACAAAATCTACTTATTTGTGGGGCTTATGCACTTCCCCATTTAGATTTGTCATTTCTTTCGATCACAAAAGATTTTTCTCAGTCGCGTCTAAGGTTTAACATTTAGGCCATTAGCCTCACAGACAAAACAATTGAAAAATCTTATAATGAAATAGGCAATTCTTTTGTAGAAGTTGATTTCTGGTACCGTGCTTTTATCAACCTTATTTTTATTTCAGAACTTGACATCATTCAGCTGTAACCCAAATAAGTGGATGCTTGTAAACTTCGACTGTTCTCTGTTGTGGTAAATATTTGTTGATGAATAACACGCACATGTCAACATATATATTATGTATTATAAGTAGCAGAACCATTGATTTACAGTTAGCAAATGTTAAAGAAAACCACTAAATCAGGCTGTGGACGAGAGACATTGTGTATAGTTTGTCGACAAGAGTTACCTCCTCTTAATCGAAATTTTGTACTCTTTAGGGTTCGCGATAAATTGCTGCTTACCTCATCAATGACAGTGGATCCCCTCTACTTGCAACACAAACACGAAGGTATGTATGATATTTATATACACGAATACCTATATGGAAAAAATTGAGATCATTCTATTTGTATGGAGTCTTTGAGGTCTTTAAATATTCATCTAAACTCGGAACACTCGAGCTCATAAAATATTTAGACACTTTTTATAGAGGTAGGAAAGATATCGAGTTCACATCAATTCCACACTCTTCCCTATAAGACTAAAACAAAAGGTGGACTTAAGTTAAATGCTATACCTACATACATTATATAGGACGTACCCTAAACTACTGCTCGTGTGACAACTATGCACTCTTAATATTTCAACAGCCTCTATATAAACTTAATAAGCTTTGTTTATTTCCAATGACTGTAAAACCAGGTTATTTTATTTTAAATTGATCACTCTTGTTGGCTCGGATGGAATCCTGTGGGTACCTTTGCACCAACCTCTATCATTCTGTATTAATTTTATTGTGATAATTTTATCATAATATCTGATAAATATACTTTATTATATATCTTTATTATTATTTTTACTTTTACAGATCAGACGATCGATCTAAGGGTACGTATTGAACATTTTTATGTTTTATTTATCGTTTTTTTAAATAGATAATGTTTGAATTGAGTCTTTTTTACCCATGCTATGATATAGTTTCGCCATAAGATAATATAACAGTGATTTTGGCTGTTTACAATAGTAGTAGTACATCCTTTTACTTCTGAGAATGAATTAACCTGTTAAATATCATAATAGAATTTCTTGTTACCGCAGTAAACAACAAATATGGAACTTTGTAAAAGCGACGATTATCTAGTAAAAACAATAAAAACAAACTCTTTATCGTTTTTTAGTCATTAGAAGGTGATTAGTAGTCTATGACATCATTACAAGGTAAAGCACTCTTGTGGATACCATGCAAATATATACAGAAAACAAAAACAATGAAAAAACCTGCAAGTTATTCCTTATTTTAAATTATCTGCTACATTTTACGAAATCATGGGACCACTGCAACCCTCTAGCCTCCCCTCCAGATTTTGACTTTTCCTTAGATCACAATTTAGGCCCTTAGCATCACTGATGAGTCCAAGAAGGACGAACTTTGTTTGGCTCTACTTTATCAAACTGCAAATTTATGTATCTTTTGTATAATTTTCTGTATAGGGTCATTTATGTTACAGCACTGGGGAATCCCGTTAAGTAGACGATTCAGAGCTCTCAAGCTTTGGTTTGTGATTCGATCTTACGGTGTGGCAGGGCTTCAGGCGTATATCAGGAAAGTATGTCCAGCGAAACGATGATTATTAATATGCAATGTTATTATTGTATATTTCATCACAAAGTTCCATTTACGTAAAATTGTGATGGCCACAGAATTGAAAAGCTAACATGATGTTATGTTTTAAATATGAGAGAGAAGCATTTCTATTTTGAAACAGATTTTTTGATATTTGATTTCTTTTGCAGCACATCAAGCTTGCCAAATTGTTTGAGACATATGTGAAGAATGACGCCAGATTTGAAGTGTCGGCACCTGTTCACATGGGACTTGTATGTTTCCGCCTTAAGGTCAGAACATTGTCATACCCACTTTATATCAGATTTTATTTTTTGAATCGATTCGTCACATTTATTTTCAAAAGCTGAATGCAGATGTTGTCGTTGTTGTTACTGCAATGGCGTACATGAAATATAATTGCACCAAACTGAATACCTGCTGTACTTTAAATTGTTTCTTTTGTTCATACTTTAAACTTATTTGATCCGATTTATTTTTAAATTATGATACAGTTAACATGTTGGTTTCTTCTTTGATATTATTTAAAATGTTGATTTCTCTATAGTTCGAAATTTCAACGATTTTACAGAAAGTTGAAAACGAAAAGAAAGATTGTTTCGTTGGAGTTCCTTTATGACTTGATCTTTTTTTCTGAACTTTATTTTTCTTGTTTCCATATCGTGATCTATTTATTTAAGAAAAATAATCACAAATAGAGCCAATCGAAAGTAGCATGTTTTTACCATATGTAAGCAGTCTTTTTTTATTGTGATTTATTGGTTTCAGGGGTCCAATTCACTCACAAAGAAATTAAATAGACTTATCAATGAATCTGGACAGCTGCACATGGTACCTGCCTTGATCAACAAAAACTACGTCATTCGGTTCGCTCTGTGTGCGGAGAAAGCTAACGAAAACGACATTGAGTTTGCTTGGAAAACTATTTCAGCCATAGCTTCAACACTTTTAGCGAGGCCATCAGTCGAGAAATCGGTAAGTGAATTGAGGACGTCGGAATCAGACGAAGAGGAAAAGTCGGAGGAAATTTCAGAGGAGGACGAAGAGGGAGATAATGCCTTCATGGAATTTGACAACGACATTATTTTCGATGAGTCAAGCACCAGGATGAGAAGTGTAATGTTCCGACGGAGTACGTTTCAGCGGATGATATCCGATCCTAAATGTTATGACCCAAAGGCACGCGGTTTCTCGAGAGGCAGTCGACGACGGTACATGAGCGAGTCCTGTAGTAAGCGGAATCCACTCTCGTTTGATGAGCCTATATTTAATTTCTGATTTTATTTGTAAATTTTAGTTTGTGTAGTTGATGTACGTGGACGCTGGAGGAAGTGTCAAGATTGATATGACTGTCACTCCATTTCAGCTTTATATTACTTAACGTTGGAGAGAGATTATAATACAATGTGCAATAATGACAATAGTACATACGCAATGTAAATAGAAGGTGAAAAAAATCAGTGACATCTGCTACTTCTTAATGTATATATACATCGCTAGATCTGTTGTCAATGATATACCCATGTTTCATGAAAGATAGCATGATATTCATTTCAATTTACCAAAGGTCAGCCTGCTAACGACCTTGCCACAAATAAGTCATTTTAATTTGATAGCTTATACCAAAGTCTGCTTAATAGTCTAATGGAAACCTGATTAATTTGTGCTGTTACCGTGACATCGGTACCAACAAAGGCTAGAATAGACAGAATACCTAGAGTGCTAAGAAATTTTACTTTATATCTCACATGAATATTTGAAAATGAAAGTTTTGCTCTTGTGATAAAGATGTTTTTGTTTTATCATATCAGTGCTGGAGCGGATGAATGGATTTTTCGTCGGCAGTGCCGATATACAGATACACTGCCCAGAATTTACATTTATGCCATCAAGCTTTCGTCGGCAGGGCCGATATACAGATACATTGCCCAGAATTTACTTTTATGCCACCAGGCTTTCGTCGGCAGTGCCGATATACAGATACACTGCCCAGAATTTACATTTATGCCATCAAGCTTTCGTCGGCAGGGCCGATATACAGATAAATTGCCCAGAATTTACTTTTATGCCATCAAGCGTTCAATTGCTGCAGACAATATCTGATAACTATTTGGTATATGTGTATGTTCTCTGTATTATATTGTTTAATTATCCATTTTGTTTTGATTTCAAAATGTTTGCTAAAGTATACATGTCACGACTATTTTGATAAAACATCCTTCCATCAGCCCTGGACCAGATATCAGCCCTCAATCAGGTATCCAAGTGTCCCTCGAGTGGATATTTTGGCATAGGACTCACGAAGGGTGTGATATCAAAACGGTTGTTATAGTAGTATTAAGTTCTCAATGTTTTCAGTCGGAGAACCAAAGGATATCGGCCCGAATCTATAAAAATTGCTAGAAATCAAATGCTTACTTCGCTTGTGATTGCTGAATGGTTGTTGGGAATGACGTCACGTAATAGCCACCAAGATCTATGTTGCATCAGTGAGTGGCTATCATTCAGATATCCATAATTCTAAAATTCAGATAAATTAATATTCGAACATAATTGGGATCACCATGGAGACTCCATGAATGTTTGAAAAGGGTTGCACTGGTTTCAAAATCCTAATGATGTATGATTTAGATCATATATATAGATATTACGTGATGGTGTAAATATGATAAATATAAGTATACATGTATATATAGTGAGATTAAGATGTATTTAGGGAATATGCTTCATTACTATCATTAGCTTATGTCATGTGAGCACTACAACCACAAAATTTCTTTTCAGATTTTATAATACATACGGGATAATTTTATGGCTCTGACTTCATTTTGTATATTTGAGATGTTGAAGGTGTCTTCTTCTTCGTTTTTATAATTGTTTATGCCATTGAAGAAATTTTGGAAGTTTGTTCATATGCTTACTCTTCCGAAACATCTGGTTTTATTCTCCGTGCATTCTTTCAAAAGCCTCCATGCAAACTCTTTTGTACATATTTGCCCTAGTTTTATTGAATATGAGATTGTGACTATGATCGTATATAGGTATTTTCTTGTAAAAGTGATGTGACTTCGATTCATACGAAGTTATTAACAGATAAAATGACATATAACACAGAATTATCGTGAACATGGAAAAAGATTCAAAATCTCACCTTAAAGGTTTATTGTTAAGTTGTGTGGTAGGAAGTTACACGTGTTTGGTACCCGATAGTATGCTATGTGGTTGCGTTGGTATATAAGTAGTATATTTGAATATATGACTGATGTCAAGCAATAACTGCTGGCACTTCAGGAACACATAGACTAATACGTTTTCAAGGGTCTCCTTGTAAACTTTTCATTTGATATTTTGTCACTGTTCGATTATGATTTTGTTGAAATTTTTGTGTTCTTTTCTTGTTATTGTTGATATTCTATATAAAAAAGTCGATTCACATAAGACATAACAGAAATTCATCGGTCATGTATAGTAACTACAGTTCAGTGTTATTTTGTGATACACATATGACATGATTAAGTGTATAAAATTGTCAATGTTCTCCTATTGCTTTTGATTTGGTTTTCGTCAAGAATTATTTAGAAAGAAAATTATTTTTGAAAGCTGGAGACACAAGGATATTGATCTAGACCATGCATTTTAATCTTCTTATTTATTTGTTTTTATTTGTTTTTTTGTTGTTTTTTTTTTTTTTGTTTTTTGTTTTTTGTTGTTTTTTTTGTGCGGGGGTTTGTTTGTTTGTTTTTTTGTGAATTATTGTTTGTAGATCAATCCTACCTTAAACTCTAATTCAGATTGTTGTTGCTTGACGTGTTTTTCCGTTCCTTTTGAGTCCATGTATCAACTTCTCAGCAAGTAACATTGCTGATAGATACCAGAATACGTGACACGAGAAAGGTCAATTTTGGCAGAACCAATTCATTATTTGGCATTTTCTCGCCTAATTTCAGAGAAATTCCCTAAATTCCTGATGATATTTTTGATACTTTCTCATTTATAACCGACACTATTTTGTTCATTTCGTTTTTGTTTTCTTCTGTTGTAAGCCGAAAACATGATTTAGATGCTTTCAACGTATTTTTTCTGTCGATGCGATAATATCAAAATGTTTAAAATCAGTCTAGTATGTTAAAATCAAGATTTGATCAGAAAGGAAGATTGTTGCTGTCTTTTATGTTAAACACATTTTGATTTAATTATTAAAGCACGATTATATCTTTATTACATAAAATCATATTTATCATAAAGCCAGTGTCCTCAAGCGTTATTACAAGTATTATATCGTTGTCATAAAACAGTTAATCCTCTATATTATTGTATGTCCTATCGTTCCCATAAACACATTTAGCGTTAGATAGAGTCAATTAATTAATTAAAACTCATCATACAGCTGTGTCGTGCTTCTAGGACACGTCAGTGATGCTGAGAGGAAAATAAAAAATGATCGGGGGAAAAATGTCAAAATCTAGATGATCTTGCTCCCGTATTTGTATAATTTTTGTAGTTAAGCCGCATGTAATATCGTTCTCGTAAATTACTTAATCTAGATAATATCCTATGTTATATTGTTCTCGTAAAATATTTTATCCTAGATAATATCATGTCATATTGTTCTCGTAAAATAGTGTGTTGTAGATAAGATAGTGTGTCGTTTAGTTTTCAAAATATCTCATCCTTAATAGATGAAAATTTACAATCTATTTTATATAGTGGAAATCATGTTAGTTAATCCATAAGATTTCCACTGAAGGTAACAAAAAAACAGAATTCCAGTGAACTATCACGTCACAAAATAACGAGTCACCGAAACTTTACCTTGTTTTGTTAAGAAACAAAAACGTTCCTCAAAATGTTCTAAAACATCAATAAGCATTGATTTGATTGGATATGTCAACCCGCCGGTTAGACACCCTTTATAAAGTTTGATGCAGTGTTCATTATTGATGTGTTTTTCATCCGGTTAATCCTAAATCTAGTTCAATGATAATTAACTCGCTATTGCCTACCCTTCTATCAATATTTTGTATTCTGAGACACAAATAAAAACTAATAATTCGTTTCCATGCAGTAATACCGGGTAAATATATAATTCCATATAATTTTTCACTGCATATTACCGCGTACTATCCCATGTGTTCCTCATCCTTTACTGGTAATACTCACTTTCATTCTTGTTGTTGTATCAGAAAAAAAAATGTCGTTATAAATTGTTATGAGTCTATTTGGACAAATAATTTCCTTAGTTTGCTAAATTCCCTTCATACACTTGAATCATCATTGTTCATTCATAGTACCTTTGGTTGTAATTTAATATTTTTTCTATGCGTTATGTTATTACTGATAATCGATGAGGATATGAACACATACACCCCTACCCTTACCCTCAAACGCATACACATCCTCAGAATCTTAGAATGTTGTTATGTTGAGATCATTTGTTATTTGATACAAGAATCCTGCCATGATCAGGGTGATCCATTAAGCTTGTAGAGTACATACGCTTAACCGGTGCTGATTTCATGTTCCGTGTACATATCAGTAATTTTATGCAGAAGCGCTTTCGTACTAGTTCTCACTGCATTTGTAGTACATATGCCTCTAAGACAGGTATCAAATATGATTTTTCTGGGTTTTCTAACACCATTTTTTTTAAAAGGGTAATTTCATTTTTCAAATGTGTTTTTTAATCTATGATTTGATTTCTTTATTAACGAATATACATACACTTGGAAAAATTTACTGGTAATCTGATATCATTTTGTACATAACATTGATGTACTTTCAGATTTATTGGCGGAGGTCGGATAAGCTCCATTGATGACATATAAGTGTCCTAGTCCTCAAGACGAAGATATTTCTTTATGTTATGCATTGCTTAACATGTGTTCAACATGTGTGCTTGATACAGAAAACAATATTCTTTAGAATATTTTCTTCAAAATATTATTGCTTTTTGTAAATATGCATTGTCAACACCTAAATAATAAAGCAAACATATTTGTCAAACAGTGCTTCGAAAATCAAATTTTATACGTCAAAAAATTAAGAGGAGGATGTGTCTAGCTATTCAATGACGCTAAAGTAATATTTCGTCAAAAGAAATGTAAAGTTTAGAGTATTATCTAACAGTATTTTTAAAATGTTTGAAGAATTCAATGTAACTATATTGCTCTGTTACCTACATGGCCTTAAATGCTGTAATTTTATCTTCAGAAACATGCCATGACTGTTTGCACGGCAATACATGAATTAATGATAAGGAGTGATATTGTAATAACGTAATGATAATCAAAATAAATTCTTTGTCATTTGATCAAAACCATATGGCATATATGAATTTCCATTTATTATCAATGATGTTAAAGAGAACTCAACAAATCTTGACTGTTTAGAGAGTGTGTTAACTTTTATGTATTTGAATGTTGTTATAATGATTTAGAATTAAAAACTATTCAACTTAAATTGACGTTTCATTTATATATTGTAAGATACTGTATTTATGTTCCTCAAAGTTTTATTTTCGTTCCAACATTGTGATTGGTCGAAATACTCTCATAGTTCCCAATATATTGTGATATTACGCCGAAGCAGGCATTCGAATTAACTACGTCTGCAGGTGAATTTAACAATCTAGTAACCTATCTTGCAATTTTGAACCAAACAGAAACGCAGATTGTCGTCGTATGATAAAACAGCTATTGACCCGTTATCAGGTGGATAAGGGGATGTATTATCCCTCGAAGGTTATCATGTAATATAATATGAACTTACAATATAAAGCCGCTAGACTGACGCTGTAAATAGTATACATTTGTTGCTAATGTGGTATCAGGCGGTTATTCTCTATACAGAACTGTTGTATTGAAGTTGGATTTGTATACAACAGTATTAGTATAAAACTTCACATAGTATACGATGGTGAGTTGCACAAAAAATAAATTGTTTTCAAGGGTGTTTAAAGTTCTTGCATCAGCAACGGTCGAGAGTTACATATTGTCCATGTGATTGTGTTGTATAAGTCTAATGTACTGTCGAAATAATTAATGTAAGACGGCCATGTAGGCGATATCACTAGTATAAAACAGCTATATCATCTATATAACTGTAATATAATTGGGGTATGGTGTGTACAGAGTGAAAAAATCAGGTGTCCTCACAGAATGTTTTTTTTTCAGAAGAGAGCATTGAAGATTGTCAAAAGCTTTTTGGAGTTCTTCAAAATCCACATACTATTTATCCCATTCCTTGAGTGAACAGTATTTCAATAAGACCCAGTTTTGATAGAAGGCTTGATTAAACAGGAAGACGAACCAGCTATAAAAACGTTGTTTATATGGTTTCTTGTGAAGTTCACGGATCCAGTATAAACGTGGAAGGTCTTTATCCTTATCATTAATGGGCATTCGAAATGATTGTAATAACGAAACATGATTAGCTAATATTTTGTCTTTTTAAAGATTGCATAATGTATAAGGGGGTTTCCAAGAAAGGCAATATATTTTCGTATACAGAAAATATAATAATGTTTGCAGACAGGGATTATGTTATTGGACGCCTTACTTGCAGGCACAGTAACAAACCGGTCATGTAAATCTCGAAGTGTGGATTTAAAATCAGGATCGAAGAAAGCTGACTTGTGTTTTGTTTTCATTTTCCATTTCAAGCTGCAAATTCCTTTACGAACGATGGACCGAATGGACGTAACCCACTCACAAAGTGAATCTCGTTTCGCCCATTCGCTGGCATAGTTTTCAACACAATCCATAAGTGACTTGAAATTCATATTCCAATTAATGGACGGGTTTCACGATATGTAGGACCTTCATGAAAGCTCACCAATCATTATGTGCCCAGTTGACGTCGGACTATTACTAAGGTCAGGTCATCTACATTCAGATGCTGTAGGAAATTACAGTGGTGGAATATTAGCCTGTAAAGTATTGCTGATGTTTGTAAAAGTTATTTGAAGAATTGAACAATTCGAAAATTGATCGCAAATTCATTTCTGTTACCAGTTAAATAGAATTGTCTTCGTTATGAAGATGTTGTTGATGTTTCGTTGATGCTGTTCGTGGTCGTGTTAACATAAATATCTGTGTGCCTTTATGCGTTCCCGTATTTCTTGTGTTCTTCGTTAATTTTGGTGTGCTTTTGTTTGTTTGTGATTTCTGTGTTTGTTACTGAATACATCTTTGTTTCTTATGATTTTTTTATTATTTATATATATGTGTTTATTCTGTCAATTTCGATTTCATTAAGTCGCCTCCTAGATTTCCCTTCAATAGGCTCCATGGTAAGTCATAGAAGAATGGAACAGCTATAAAATGCAGTTTTTATAAACTATATAATTACATCCCGTACCTAAAATTAACGTTCTGTTAGTTGGATAACCCATAGGTAATTCTATTCAAGAAAAACTCAAACAAATAAACAATTAATCGTTATTTATTTTGTATGAACATCGGTATGAAATAAAAGTATTTATTTCACGTTTATCTGTTTATAGAGTAAAGTGAGTTAACCCATATATTGTGTACACCATTTGCATGTTTGAATTATCATGGTACCATTGAGCCACATGTTAAACTAAAGGTTTAAGGCATCCAGTATATTGATGAAACAAATTTACGGCAGAATTGGTGAACATGTGTCTTCAGGTGTTCCTAATGAGTGTTTCCGTCTTCTGTTACAATGACACTGAAAAGATGAAAACAACAAAACATTATCGCTGTGTAAAGTAAAAATGTAAAAAAGCAAATACCAGCAGAATCAAACTCAAATTCCTTGAAACTATGGCAAAATATGAACGAAATAATGAGACAAAGGTTAGCGTCCTATGCTTCGTCGGCGATACCCACCATGTTAAGCATGGAAAATCTAAGAAAGTAATTTCACGTCCTCATTTGCGAACAAGGTAAACAACAATAGCGCCTTCAGACCTAATAAAGGCATCAAATACCTCTAATTTCATATCATAGAAGCAGAATATTTCCTAACAACACAATGATGATGATATACTCTATTGAGGCTAAACGGCTGTATCAATAATAAATAAATGTGGAATAAACATCACTTTTTATCATAGTGTTGTTAGCAACGCTCTTACCATAACATTTATGCAAATCGAAACTAACTTACGAATTACGTGTAATAAAACAGAATCTGTGATAAGGTTTTACAATCATTAATCATTCATACAAGGAGCATAAACAAATTTCGTCTTGGAAATGACCTGATTTTGTTAGTATTACACAAATGTAAACATATATCTAAATGCATACAGCAATTAGCAATTTCCACGACACTAAATAAGACGATACATGTACCTGAGGTATGAACGATGACTATGGCCTCTGGTAACAACACACGCCCCCTGTTCTACCGCAACTGAAGTAGTCAAAATCAAAACTCCTACAGTTCTGACGGATGTAATGCATCGGGTGAGCAACCATCCTTCGTGGAGGTGCTGGTGTGGCCGGGGGAGGGTTCGCGCCAGGTCTGCCTGGGGTTTTTCCTCTCCCGTGGGCTCCAGGGGCTCCATGGCCTCCATGGCCTCCAGCTGGCTGATGAGGTTGAGCAGTTGGTGCTCCTCCTTCCATTTCGACTTCCGGTGGCTCTCCTCCAGCACCTCCTTGTGATGCTGGAGGTGGGTACATATCTAAACAATAACCTCCGTCTGTTTGGCAACCATATCTCTGCTCTGTAATCACACAAATAGACAAATATGGTAAGTTGTGAGTACCAAAACAATATATGGAAATATGTTTATATAATCATCTCCTCTTTTGCTTAGTCAAGAGTTTGGAGTGACTTCACAATGTTTGAAAAGTACCACTAACGATACGCGGTGTCTTTGAAGACTTGAGCGAAGGCTATGCCAGTGTCTCATATGGAATGAATACTGAATTCGGGACATTATTGATCCCAGACGTGGCTCCTACCAAAAATCAATGAAAAAAAAACAAAACAAAACAAAATCAATCACAATGTATAAGACATTGACACAGCCGTCTTTATAGCCATCAAATGCATACTGTACCGTTTCTTGTTCTTTTTCAAACAATGCGTTGTTACCCCAATATGGACTTGTTGTAATGTATGATTTCACATTTGTCTATCACCCACGACATGTATTTTTATTATCATTATTACACATTTCTTATCCATTGTCGTGTTTATTGTATACATGAAATGTTAGAAACGTCATTAAGTATGATAGGATAACAGTGTTCTGATTATACCTTGTCACTAAATGTGTTCATAACACCGACCTCAACTTTTTTAACTTCTAACTATAGGACTGCTGCACCTCCCTGTCTATATTTTTACTTTTCGTTTAATCATTTTGGATTCGTCGCCTACTAGGCTTCAAAGTTTAGGCATCCCTGACGAGTTCTGGAACGACAGCTGTATAATGCAGGTTAATTCATTGTTTGGCTTTACCGTATCTGACACTTAATTATGAAAAAGTGTTATTCCCATGTGTGTCGTTTTTACAATCTTTAAATTTTGTTCAAAAATATTTTGCCATTAGAATCAAACAGACAGCATAAGCATTAATGTAAATTCATAAAAAGTTCATTAAATGCATAAAAACTTTAATCTGCAGAAATTAAAATAAAACCATTTAGCCTATGGATATGAAAACAATGAAAAACAGGGAGAAAAAGTCAATATCTTATCAAATGTTCCCACTGGTATATCAGCTAATGTTTATAATACTCACATACGCCCTCGTTCATACATATTGTTTACATATTTATAATACCTATTAAATAAAGGTTGCGTGAACAGCCTTTATAAACATAATCATCAGAACAACACACAAACTAAATTCGGTATATTTTTTCTATTATGAAGTTTTTTTTTTCAGTTGCTGACAGAGTACATACCAAAAAGAACAAATGATTTAGGGTTATAACAATGTTTAAGTATACGTATATAACCACAACTAAAACATTTAAGAATATGTCTCGTCCGGTCACTAACGACTCATATTACCGTAGCCATAACATTCCAGGCTATATTTTTAGCTAGTGATTTATATTACCACGTTTTTACATACAAACGTATATAACATCTGGATTTCTAACAACGTTATTACTATGACATTAACATTAAAGAATATTTTTTCACCTGACGACATAAAACCATATACTATGCACTTAAATTTGTATTCAGAAACATACATATTTGATCAAATTTTACAAACGACACACAATAATAACCCGATTCAAATTTAAAATTGGATTTAGTAAAGCCAGATAATTGATAAAACTTTATCACTCAGTTATTTTATTTTTCTAGTACTCTTCTTTTATGCTTAGTACCTGAATTGTTGAAACTTGCGGGGCAACTGGAGAAAATAAAATGTCAAAATCCAGATGAAGACATATCAACGGTTAACATCTGAGATGGGAACAACTGTCTTTCCTAATTCACACACCTCTGATGTCCATCACCTATGTTCGTTTTAGGTTCTAATGGCCGACATTATATCGCTCGACATAAGAAATATATTAATGTCATAATTTCACGAGTGATTCATGGTCACTTTCTGTGGTGAATTATTTATTTGCTTACCAAGACTGATAGCGGAACAGTTAAACTAATGTTATAACCTAATAATTTGTAATTTCACTTATCTTATGTAGACTCTTGTGATGTTACATTATCTTACGTAGAAAATTATAGTATTACATTATTTTACGTAGGAACTGGTGATATTACAGTACCTTACGTAGAAACTAGTGATGTTACAATATCTTATGTAGAAAATGATGGTATTACATTATTTTACGTAGAAACTGGTGATATTATAATATGTTACGCAGAAAATGGTGATATTACAATACCTTACATAGAAAATGGTGATATTACAATACCTTACATAGAACATGGTGATATTACAATATTTTACGTAGGAACTGGTGATATTACAATACCCTACATAGAAACTGGTGATATTACAATACCTTACATAGAAAATGGTGATATTACAATATGTTACGCAGAAAATGGTGATATTACAATACCTTACATAGAAAACGGTGATATTATATTATCTTACATAGAATAAGATGATGTTACATTATTTTACGTAGAATGAGGTGATGTTACATTATCTTTCGTAGAAACTAGTGACATTACATTGTATTACTATTGCGCCACCCGATAACCGATATGTTTATACGATAAAAAAACACGACTGTTATCATGATATACATGTAACCAATATCAATACAAAAAATAATAATGTCATATTCAATCGCATCTTATCTCTGATTTTGTCAATTAATTCCACGTCTATAATATTTTTATGATTATCTCTCGTTGCCAATATCATCCCTGATATTATAGCCCCTTTTTATCTCCCTTGTTATTATCACCCCTATATCACATCAACTGTTTATCATTTGTATTGTAATTATCACTCACGTTAACATATCATTTTTTCTACCTTAGTCCTCCCCTTCTATCGTAACCTTATTATCACACCCTTTGTTTATTATCTCCCTTGTTTTTCACTCCTTTTATAACATTGTCTGATAAATAATTCTTCTATTTTTATTTTTGTTAGTTGTTACCCATATATTTTCGAATTATTAACCTCTTTGTTTCCTGTATGAATGTAAATTGAATATTTATTTTTTAAAACCCATTTAGTCGATTAAAGTTGTCTTTGTTTTTCTGATTGTTATTTCTTTACCATTAATATCATTTTTAGATACAAGTTATAGGCTTCACGAATACTTAAACTGATAAACATCATAATATTTTAAAACATGGAAAATTCGTGATGTAAAATTCTGTTTATAAATCTAATATTCGGTAACAAACCTAACACTGCATGGATGTTTACATATCACTTCGCGACCTGAGTCGTCTCGAAAACAAACTGTTAAATTAAGAAATAGAAGCAAGAATAAAAATTCTCATTATTGTATTGATATCATATGTCACTTCATTATGTAGATTTACACACAATATAGAGATACCTCAAAAATGATCTTTTTCTTTATTGACACATTACCTTTCTTTTAAGAGATATAATTGACTTTTTAGTTATTTGATATAAAACAAATGCAACATAATATAATACACAATAAAAACACGATGTTTGTGAACGGTAAAAATAGACTTCTGGAAAACATCTAATAAAATCCTTGCCATCAAGTGGTATTACGGACTTTAAAAAGTCTTAATCAGGTAAAGGATCCTTTTACAATTGTATTGCATTGCTCAGATGGACGATGAAACCTTACCAAAGTCAGTTGTGTATTACCAGCTCATGAACTGCCAACAGTGTCTGAATTTTGTAAGTAATATAAGCAAACTGAAGTTGTCTTCCTTTACGATAAAATGAAAATTGAAAACGGTCAATATATGTATTAAAGTGTTTTCAGTTGGCATTCATGTGTTATGAATACCTTAAGATAGATAATTCAATATGAAACACAAACGTAGATTCGTTGAATTTGCCTTGATCCTGTCACCGTCATATATGTCCATGAATCAGTATAATTTCAACTAAAGCATTGACCTACCTTGGAAACCATCGTACATGTCAAAGAAATCGAAAAATCCGAGACATGGTGATGCCAATATCAGTACAATACAGAATGAAATCAGTCCGAAAGATGACATCGTTAGTGAAGATTCTGAATGTTTCAGTGGACAAACGCCGTTTACTGATAACTTCGCTCACACCCCTCCTTATAGGTCAAGCAATGTGTGGTCATCTTAATAAATCATTCATTCCGACACAGCATCATAGGTTGGAATTAATGGACTGTTATCTTTATGCCTAGTCAACGCTATAAACAACAGCAGGAAGGTAAGCCGAAAAAAATATGAAATTAAAATATTTTTTTTTAAATTAACTTTTAAAATATTACATTTTTCATTTTTTATTTACTTTGCTTTTATCAAATGCCTTTAATCATTTATTTGTATATACTCATAATGAAACTAATGATAAAACATGACGATTCAGGCCAATATCCCTATGGCTACCTCTTGAAATCCGCACCCTTTCTTTAGCAGCGTAGCAGTACATCATGTCGTATGTACAAGGTTGACAAAAGCTATGATTTATTAAAACAAAAGCGTTGTGTAGCTACCTGGTGCAGAGAAGAATAGATTTCTAAGTACTGTCATCATGATTATAAATTGTTAGTTTTCACATCAAAGGACAACAAGGTTACCTCTGAATCAAAATCAACTAATGGAGAAAGCCTAGCAAATATTTTTTTGTTTTTACGACATGATATCCGTTTCTATTCAACAAAGGAGTTTAGTAACATGAAAATAGAAAATGTACAATATGTACATTAAATTTGTGATATGTTTACAAAACAAAACATAAATAATCTCAAATACCGAAGTTTACAGTACATTTAACAAATTTATTTATCACCTAATGACCTAAGGTATGTGATAGACCTGCAAAAATATTTTCATTTCATAAATGAAAATAGACTCTAAACTGTAGAAGAGTGTTGTTATCACTTCATAACCTGTAGCCTACATTACTCTATACAAAACTTCATTTTTCACAATTTTTAAAATTACTGTATTTATAACATCATGTGGACTATAGAAACACAATTTCTCGGACAATGTCCGTAGTGTTTGGTATCAGAGTATCAAGGATACTGGACACTGCCATTACCTCAGCTTGACCTCCACAATAAGGTA